CGGGACATCACTGTCGCCGCACTCACGTCGAGAGGGTTGTTCTTCAAGAACGCCTCAATGTCCTTGACCAGTGCTGCCCGTCTAGTAGCATCCTGCATGCGACGGAAGATCGGCTCGATCACCGCCTTGTCCAAGCCACTCGCTTGCGCCATGGGCGCGATGGCACATGCATCGGGGTCGGCGGCGTTGGAACCCTCCTCCTGTGCGTTGGCCTCCGCGTCATCATCGGGCCCCTGACCGTTGGCGGGATTAGAGTCACTGCTGCTCGTGTAGTAGGTTATGTATTTCTGAACGAACTTGCGCACGGCAGGGTAAGATGACAACGTCACGGCGGGCCCGTGCTTCTCCTGCATTTTGGGCGTGTACGACGGCACCTTGACAACCTCTTCCATCATGAAAATAAGCAGCCAGAGCCTGGCATTCGAGGCAACAGTCATATCGATCTCGCTCCGGGAGGCGCCCTTGAAACCCATAGTAACAATTGATATGACTTCATCAGCCATCATTTCGCCTTTCGGCTTGGTCATGTAAAAGGGGGCGATCTTGTCTTCAAGGTCTGCCAAAGCATCGTCTTCTTGCTTTCCCGTCGTTCTGCGCCTCTTTTTGGCACCCTTCCTGGACTTCGCCGCTAGACCCTCCGCGATCTTCTGCTTCGTAGCCTGCGGGATCGGGTTGAGCACGAGGGCCGGGACGACCTCGGGGCAATCAGATGCGGAAAAAGGAGGAGGTGGTGGAGGCATCCTCCTCGTCGTCTTCCTCCCCCTCCTCGTCCTCCCCCCCATCCTCGTCGTCCTCAGTCCTCCTCCTTCCTCCTCCTCCTCCCGGGCCCTCCCCACCCTTATCCTCCCTCCTCCTCCTCCTTCTCCTCGCCCTCCTCCGCCCTTGTCCTCGTCGTTCTCCATTCCCCCCTTCCTCCTCCTCCACCGCTACTTCCCCCCACCATTGTCCCCCTCCATCCCTTCCCAGCCCTCTCCTCTTTTCCTTTTCCCCCAGAGGCGCCTCCGCGGGAGCTTCCACCTCGCCAGGCTTGGTGTTCCGCACGGCCGTAGGCACAAACAGGAGCTTAACCTTCCTCTCTGCCTCCTTGGCATCCTGGAGGATGAACGGGTACTTCACGCGAGAATCGTAGCCCTCGTCGCCCTCCTCGAGCTCGTCCCTCGGGGCGGCCAATTTGAGGACGTCAAGCAGCAGGTCGAGATATATTGGGTTTTTCATGTCTTTGTCGGGGCCCACGGCGGCGGCGAACGTGCGATAGATGGCGGCGTACGTACTTACGCACTGGCCCCTGTCGTAATTGGCAATGAACAACATGTTGGCGTTGCAGTCTTCAATGCACAGGTCGTAGTAGCCATACTTCTTCATCCCGTTGTGGAAGACCCTGGCGTCCCTGAACTCGGTGAACGAGCTGAAGTATACTCCGTATGTTTTCTCGATGTGATCGCCGAACCTCAGCAATCGGCAGCCGCTCGCTCCCTTCGCCTCCTCGCCCTTCAGCCCACCCCCCTCTCGCCCTCCCCTCTCCCTCTCCCCCTCTACCCTCCGCCTCCCCACCCTCCCCTCCACCCTCCCCTCCCCTCCTCCCTATCCCTCCCCTGCGTCCCCTGCCCTCCCGCCATCCCACCCCCGCTGCCACCCCCTGGGGAGGTCGACGTGCGCCGGGCCATGCTGAAGAGGCCGCGCCCGCCCGGGGCGGGAAAGGGCAAGGGCCAAGGGCCGAGGGCAGAAAGGCGAGGGCGAGAGGCAACGGCATCAGCATAGTGATCGATCGCTGCCAGGGGGGGGGCCGGGTCTCGTAGCCGCACTGGGTTCTGCTTGCAGCTGTCTTGTCTTCCCCCGAAGCGGCGGCAGCGGCGGTCGCCGCCTTTTTCCTCTGGGATTCCGCTGCCTCGAAAGACCTGGCAGCATCGGGGACGATCTCGAAGGCGTCGATGTGGGAAACCCCGGACGCCTCATTATTCAAAGCGTTCGCCTCAGCCTTACAATATAAGAGAGCATCCTTGGGCGTCCTCGGATCGATCAGGGTGCAGTTGGGCATGCCTTCTGATTCGCAAATACTCTTTGCGTGGCAACTCCCTCCTCCTTCCTACTCCCCCTCATCCTCCTCCGTCTCCCCACGGAGGATGGGGGGAGAAGAGTGGCGCGTATATTTGACATGCGTGGGTGCCCTCTGCGATAGAATGGTTGACTTGCTTGTTGTGGCCCTTGCACTTCGAGTGGGCTTCGTACACGGCCTTGCACAGGTGGGCCCCGCCAATAATGCTGCATTCGACGGTCAAGGCATGGCCGTCTTTCGCGTTCTGCAGCATCTTCGAATCGAAAGACGTCATGGGGACAGCGACAATCTCACCTGGCTGCCACTGGCCGATGGCTCGGACCCCCCGACCCCCTGGGGCCCTCGGGATCATCGCCACCCCCCGGAGCATCGCGCAGTCTCGGGGTGGTCCGAGTAGGGAAACGATGAGTAACGATGAGGGGGGGGGGATGAGGAGGTGGGAGGAGGAGGATAAGGGGCGAGGAGGCGAGGATGAGGGGAAGGAAGAAGTGTGAGGACTTAGGACGACGGCCACGACGACCGCGATAAGGCTTGGAGGGCGGAGGGGCGGGGAGGGCCCCTCCCCTCCTCTCCTCGCTCCCCCTCTGCGGCCGCACAGGCCTCTGGCGCCCTTCTGGATGCCCTGCTTGCAGATGCGCCTCGCGCAGCGGGCCAAGGTGGATGCCTGGCGGAGGCCCGCAGGGATAGGAAGGAAGAAGAGAAGGAACATGTTGTAGGAGTCGGACGGCTGCGTCCGACAGGACATCGAGCCGATAGCGATAGCGATAGCGATGTTGTAGGAGTAAGTATAAAGAAGGATGAGCCTGGTTCCTGTTGTTGAACTCGTGCGGTCCCAGCATTTTCTTCTGCCCGTCGAAGAAATGCAGCGCGACGTGCTCCTGGGTTCCCGGGGCCCCGGGGCCGACGCCCCGACCTGGCCGCCCCCTTTAGCGAGACCAGTCGTGCCCAGCCCAGAGGGAGGGGGAAGGGGGGGAGGCTTTTTTTCAGGTCTCCTTCAAAACGTAATCTTTGCGCCATTGGTCCTGCAACATCCTGCCTTCAAGCTCCGGGTGGCGGTCAGAGTGCGCTCCAGTTGGGTTGACGTCGAAGGGTCCCAGGGCCCCGTCAGGGCGCGCACGAAGCTGCTCCGTCGGCGCCGAGAGCGCCGAGACATCGCTGTTATCATTGGCCAACGAATTGTTTTGACGCAGCACGCGCTTGCGCTTTCCATCGGCAGACATCGCGGCCGGGAGGATTGTCTAGGATGTGACAATTAATTCCCTTCTCCAGAGAACCGAGTCTGAGATTCTGAGCTGGGGAACTGAGACTGCGAATCGAAATCGCTGGGCGAGGAGGGGGAAGGAAGAGGGGGAAGGGTGAAGGATGAAGGGGGGAAAGGAGGAGGAGGAAGGGAGGTTGGGCGAGGAGGAAGGGAGGTTTGGTGAGGAGGGGGAAGGAGGGGGAAGAAGCGAGACAATGATACCATGATGCCACGATTGCAGCACATGAATTTGTGTGTATGTGTTTGTGTGGACTCAAGGAATCAGGACCCCACGTTGGACGTGGGCGTCGATGGAAACTACATGAGCACCATGAGCATGAACAATTGGAGGTCCGCGCGGATTTCTCGGCTCGGCACTGGGCCCCCTTCCCTTGGAGCGCTTCGCTCGCAAGAGGGGGCAGGCGCCGGAGGCGCTGCCAGTTGGGGCCCAGCGCCGAGCGAAGAAATCCACGCGGACTTCTTAATAGCCATGTTTACGTCGGCAGCGCAGGAGTGAAGGAGACGAGGGGGCCAGGAGGACATTGTCGATCTCGCAATTTGCGCATCGGGCTGTTAAACGGCCTGGCTGAAGAGATCTAATCTAGAGAGGTGCCGATCGCTCTGACACTCGTACGTTGTCGAGTGCCCCCGCACGCGCGCCAACTCTCTGGATCTTCGCCAGGATCGCCTTGCTACATGGGCAATGTTGGCCGTGGTGGATGCCCACGGTCATGAATATACTAGAACAGAAAAACATCGGCGCCCTCGGGGAAAACTGCGTTCCAGGTGCCATCGCAACAGACATTGTAAACGTGGCCGTCTAAACGTGACCTGCTGCCAGAGGGTGCACGTACAGGCATAATTGGCAGCAAGGCAGAAACGTGACCTGCTTCAGTGTCTGACTCGCGACTCACCCCCCTCCTCTTCCTCCGCGCCAAAACCCTTGATTGCTCCTCATCCTTCCTCCTCCTCCTCCTCCTCCTCATCCTCCTCATCTCGCCTCGCTGATCTCACTCACTCACTGACTCACTGCCCCTGGTGGCGGCGGGGGCGAAGCTGTCGCTGCTGAGCTGGCTGATGTTCTCCGGGAGCGTGGTCTGCCGCAGCCCGCTGGACGAGGCATTGGCGCTGGTGCCGCTGGTGCCGCTCTCCGAGCGGCGCCCCTTCTTGCAATCCTGATTGCTCTCTGCCGCAGCCGGGCGCTTCTTCGCACTCTGCGTGCTGTCTGCCGCAGCTGCGGCCGCTGGCCTCTTCGCGAGGGCGCGCCCCTTGCCCTTGCCCTTGCCTTTGCGCGGCGCAGGCTGAGGCAGCTCATGCGGCACGCGCGGCGCGGGCGCACCCATGGCCACGCCGTCGTGGACGCGCGGGAACTTCAGCACCAGCTGGAGGAGCCACGCGCCGATGTGGTTGATGTGGATCGCGTTGCCCGCCTGTCTGCGAGCGGAGCGAACCGTCCGCTGGGCAGGCGGTCGCATGCCTGGGCTCTCTCATCCATCCTCCCTCCTGCTCCTTTCCCCCCCCTCCTTCTCCTCCTCCTCCTCCTCCTCCTCCTCAGGATGCACTGCTAACTAACCAGGGGCATCCTTCTTTCCAGGAAAAATGAGGGTGGGGGCGCTTCAAATTCAAAGCTCGATCATCCTCTCCTCCTCCTCCCCCTCCTCTCCTCCTCCTGTGATTAATTCAGGGGCGAGCTCGCCGTGACTGAACTGGCACACCGCGCCCCCCGTGGCGTCCTGGTCCTCTTTGCACACAGGGAAGCCCATGGCGGTGAAGAACTCGGGTGCGGTGATCCACCTCTGGCGCAATCCGCGAAGGGGAAGGTCGAGGAGGGCGAGGCATCTTGGTGCCTTTCTGGTGGCCTCTTGGCGCGCTCTCGCGGGCGCCTGGGGCCCTCCCTTTTTGTGCCCGTTTTGGGGCCCTCTGTGGCTCAAAAGGACTTGGAGGCCACCGGAGGCCGAACCCTCAAACATCTCCAGGAGGGGAGGACCCGGGGAGGAGGGAGATGACGATGGAGGACGGACGAGGGGAGAGGAGGGGAATGATATCAGGCGAGGGAGGTTCGAAGGGAATGGGCTGACAGGAGAAGGGTAGAACGAGAGAGGGGGGGAGTGGGAGGAAAAGGAACGCGAGGATTTTTGGAGCACGACCGCCATGCGCCCACCCGTCGATGCCAGCGTGCGTCAGGTCCGCGTCCGTGGGGCCCCTCGTGATGCACTGGAAGCCAACGTTGCTGATGATCGTATTCCTGACCCCGCCGATCGTACGCATCACCCGCTTGCGTGGATTCTGATCCAGATCCACGGCTGACCCAGGCCACTGTGCCTCAGCGTACTTCAAGTTGCCACGTTCCCAGAGGCCGAGCGACGCCCTTGGCGTCCCGGGGGTGTCCTCGCACTTGACGAAGCTGTCGTAGTCGGCGCCGATGTAGTCCCGAGGGTTCTCGCCGCGCGCCTCGATCTCTGCGACCTCGGACTCCAGCGCGCGGCGCTCCTTGCTCGATGGTCGCCCGTGAGACCGCGCGAGCGCCCTTGCGATGTCCGACGGGTCTGCAATCAAGTAGCCCGACCAAGTGAACTCAGCCTTGCGAAGGAAGAGCCAATTAAAGTCGACGCTCATCTGAAGGAAAGAGCGGATGCTGAACGTGGAATAGCTGCCGACGTACCCCATCTCTGCGATCAGCGGGTGAAGCCACGACTTCAGTAAGCACGCGCACATCTGCTTCTCGCGACTCGACGCCCAGCCCAGCCCATATCTTGCACATTGTGTACCTCGTGGATCACGTGGTACAACTCTCCGAGTTCCTCGTTGAGGAGGCGGGATCCGAACTGCTTTACGTTCTCGTGCACCACGATTGGCTCTTGGAGCCGACGGCGCGAACAGCACCTAAGGTAAAAATATGTCATCGCTTTGCCTTGCTCGAGCATGTGCTGGCCGTATGACGAATGCATGGTGCAGTGGCTGCCCGCGTTGTGAATCGCTGTTGTCGCCATCTCGCAGTGCTTGCCGCAACGCACGCACCAACAACGGAGAACGGGCTCGTGCTCGCGCGGCAACTTGCGCAACTTGGCGTTGCTCACCTGGGCACCGTTGTCCATGCCGAACGCCTTCCGCACTGCCTCTGGACAGAATTGAGATATCTCGCCGAATATATTGCACATGTCGCAAGGCGAAGCCTTCAGCTCCTGAGTGGCCTTCCTATTGACTTCTACTCCGTAGATGCCATTGAACTTCAGCGTCTTGGCGTCGGACCCGAGAGCGACCAGGAACTGCGCGATGCCCTTCTCGATGACTCCAGCCGCGGTCTCCGGGGCTCCGACCCCAGAGAAGCAGGGCGACAAAGTGATGGTGCGGTCGCTGATGTGCGGAACGATATCCTCCTTGGAGCTGCCGAAGCTCAGCTGCGCCTTGTCCAGCGCGCGCTGCACCCACTTCATCGCATCAGTGCGAGTCCGGACAGCAGCACGGCTGTCAGCCAGGTTTGGGGCCGCGCGAGGGCGCAGCGCACGGCGCGACCGAGGAGGCTGAGGAGGCACCGGATGCACTGGAACCGACAGCATGGCAGCGGTGCGTGGGTGGCGGCGGACGAATCTGACGCCTGGTGCGAACCGCGCTCGAATCACCGAAACCTGAAAACTCAAATATGCTCGAGACAAAATGGCGACGGAGATGTGTTATAGGCTATGTAACTTCGCGCTCCGCGCCCTGCGATGCGCGCTTATCTTCGCGCCTTCGCAACGCCGAATTTGGGCCAGCAACTTCCTGGCGCATACCACAAAGCGTGAAGCACATTTATCTCCGCGCATCTGGTGACGACTTAGGATCCCGTACTATATATATGTGGTTTGTTTGCCTCATACATATGAGGCATGCATATCACTGGGGCGGAGAGCTCAAATGATTACATGGCTTGTCGGCTGTTCCTCATATTTCATATGTTGTCGCTTCATAGTGTTAGCATTATCTATCTCCACACTATATTGACGCATCTTCGCTGCTAATGTTGACCATCATACTTCGCATATTCATCGCTATTCGTTCGCCCTGACCATATTCATCGCCTCTCATCGCAGCATTCCTCGCACATAGTCGAATATGTTCCGCATCGTATTCGGTTGTGTTGAACCATCACCGGCATACTCATAAGTGGTATCTTCATCATTATCACATCGTGTCGTACATCAATCATGGTGTTATCGATACTTAACTTGGCGAAATTATCATGTTGTGAGCGAGCCCCAACAGGGGCGGTCATGTCGGGAGCGAGTACCAACAGGGACGGCCGCGTTGGGAGCATGTCCCAACAGGGACAGCTGCGTTGGGAGCAAGCCCAACAGGGACGGCCCTGTTGGGAGAAAGTCCCAACAGGGACGGCCCTGTTGGAAGTAGGCCCCAACAGGGGCGGTCATGTTGGGAGCATGCCCCAACATGGACGGCCCTGTTGGGAGCAAGTCCCAACAGGGACGACCCTGTTGGGAGCAGGACCCAACAGGGACGGTCCTGTTGGGAGCACGTCCCAACAGGGGCTGCCACGTTGGGAGCACGTCCCAACAGGGACGGCACGCGTTGGGGGCAAGCCCCAGCAGAGACAGCCACGTTGGGAGCATGGCCCAACAGTGGCGAGCATGATGGGACCAAGTCCCAACAGGGTCGATAGTGCTGGGGCACATCCCAACGGGGTTGCCCCTGTTGGGAGTAGGTCCCAACAGGACCGCCCAATGTTGGGAGTCACTCCCAACATGCCAGTGTATGCTAGGCCGTGCTCCCAACGAAGTCGGTTACTTTTGATTCCCTTCCCAACGGCGTGTACGTGGTATGACTCGGTCCAAAATGAACGTTTTATGGTAAAACTCATTCAGTCACATCATTCGCATTATCATAGTAGTCATGGTCATCATACGTTCCTTCCTCATCATTATCATCCCTTTCATCATCAGCACCGTCATTCGGCGCAACGCGAGCTCCGCCCGCGCTCCCCAGGCCTTCGCCGCGTGCCAGGTGAGCAAGCGGGCTCTGGCGGCGTCGCTCTCTGCGGCGCAGCGACGAAGAGAGACAGAGATAGAAGAGGAAGAAGATGAGGCGGATAATGAGCCGAGGATGAGGATGGCTAGACACTGTCGTGGCGCATTCCTAGGATAAGGTAATATGCTGCCCAATGGCAAAGGTCAAAGGTAAGATGTGGCCCAAATGGTAAAACGTAAAGTTACATGTCGCGGTTTAAAGTTTTACCCTCTGTTAGCAGCCGTGGTTTTTGGGATGTTCTCCCCCAACTGACAGTGGTCAATGCATGATATGCTTGCCGCCAATGAAACAGAACTCCGCAAATCACGGCCACAAGGGCGCGATGAATCGGCGCATTACGTCAAATGGTCTTCAAACTCGGCCCCTGGGCCGCGCGGAAAAATGCGAAATGGTTTTCGGGCAAACCGCCCTTTGGGCCAAGAAGTGCGCCGCGAGAGCGCGCGCGCGCGCCCTGACATGCACCGGCGTTCGCGCGCGCCACGCCCGCAGAAATTCGAAGCGCGGGATCGCCAAGGCACAGCGAATGAAATCGTGCGGCGGCGACCCGTGCGCACTGCTGGACACGCCTCGCGACGCGCGCTGGCGTTGCGATTCCGTGCGCCGCAGTCTGGGGCTGAAGGTTTCGCCCCGCGGAGCGCAGGGTTTCGGCGCGGGGCTCTTCACGCGCGCCCCAGGGCGAAAGATATTGGTTCGTGGCGCGTAGAGGTGGGCTCAGGGTTGTGGCGCGTGGCGCTGTGTTTTTATATCCACGCGCGCGCTCCACGGCGAATGAGCGGCGGCTCTGGGCGCGAGGTTCGCGCTCTAGTAAGTGGAGGCCTTTGGTGCGCAGCAAGTGAGGCCGACGGCCTGAGCTTGAAGCTCATGGATGGGAACTAGAGGGTGGGACCTTAAAATGTTCGAGTGTATCGTGTTGTTGTGGGTGGTTGGTTTAGCAGTTGTCGGGTCGGCCACCGATGGCCACGTGCAACTCGAATCAGGCACGGGGCAGAGGAGAAAGGGAATGATGAGGAGAAGCATGGGTAGGAGAAAGACCATGACAATGTGCGTGACAAAAACAACGCGCGGAAGGGGGTCGGGACACTGCGTTGATCAGCTTCGGGGGGAAGGGAGAGGAGTATTCACATTGAGTAACTGTGGAGGGGGAGAAGGGGGTGGAGGAGGGGGGGGAAGGGAGGGGGAGGACGAGGGGGAGAGGGGGGGGGGAGGGGGGCCGCCATCGCCATGATCAGTCATGCCGCCATAACCGCCAAACGAATCAATCGTTTCAACATCGCCGCCACCGTTGCGGCTCTATCCTTCCTCCTCATCCTCGCCAATCCTCAATATTGCAACCTCCTACGTTATCGCCATCGGTGTACGTTTGCTCACTCGCTCGTGCTCGCGACGGAGAGGATGGGTGGGCACCTCGCCGCCTCCTCCTCCTCCCTCTCCCTCCTCCCTTTCCCCTCCCCCTGACACCCCCCCCCCTCCTCCTCCTCCTCCTCCTCATCCCTCTCTGCCTTCCCATCCGCCCCCCCCTCCCATCCCTCCCCCTCTCCCTCCTCCCCCCGCCCCATGCCGGTGTAACTGCGCATGTCCGCGGTGCGCGCCGACTACAAAAGGCGACGGCGGAGACGGCGGCAGCCGATGTGTGATTGCGAGGAGGCCAGGGCGCGACACAAAATGGAACAGGCACCGAAAGCCCGCTCGAGAGCTTCGTTAATCTCATCCCCCGCAGCAACAAAACGTTCCTCGGCGCTCCGACGTTTGAAACTCCAGCGATCCCGCCGAGGATTGAACGCACTACCGAACATTGCGTGGCACGTGACACGGCGTGCGACATGTTATGCGCGATATGGTTCTAGGCGCATGTGTGGTTGGCGCCGTGGCACGTGCAGTGTTAAGCGTTCTGGTGCGCACGTTGGGAGCTCACATGGGCCGACTCAGAGGGCATGGAAGCGGGTGAGCGACTCCACGCGCGCCTTCCACATGGCGCTGTTCATGGTGCGCGCATGCTCCTGGTTTGAATTCTTCACTGCCGCGCTAACCGCGGTGCCCAGGGCCTCCAGGGGCGAGGGGGGGAACGCTCGCGTGCCAGGGCAGCGCCGAAGGACCCAAGGCCCCACAGGGGAGTTGAGGAGAGGAGCTGGAGGGAGGATGCGCAGGAGGATGCAGGGGGACAGATAGGAGAAACAGTAGGAAGAGGTAAAGGCAGCGGCATCGGCAAAGCGTGGACGGGGAGGACGGGTGACAGGCGGAGAAGGAGGACGCATACGATGCACCACATGTGGGCATACTATCTCCTCCCATCCGTTTCCTCTTTTTTCCATGCGCCTCCTCCTCTGTCCCCCCCTCCCCCTATCCCCCCCCCCCCTCCCCCCCTCCCCATCATCCCCCTCCTTCTACTCCACGTCCTCCTTGTCCTCCTTGCCCCCCCCCCCCCCCCTCCCCCCCCCGCCCGCGCCCCTGGCCCTGAACCTGCCAGAGTGCAAGGGCGGAATGAACATCGCGTGGCCGATGTCAATCTTGGTGGAGCGCACGGGCTCGGGATGGTAGTAGAGAACCTGCGCGCTGTGCCCGCGCGGCACGTGGACTGCGTGCCCGGCGTCTGGCTGGAGGGAAAAACCGTTCTGGGTGATAGCGTTGGTGCCAGACTCCGTTTCGTAGAATTTCAGCATGTCTTTCAACGAGACCCCTCGTGCGAGCACGCGCGCCACGGAGTGCGCGAATCACAGCATGTTGGGCGTCGGCGGAACCAGGGCGCGCTCGTTGCCCGCGAGGGGGGGCCATCGATGCCCCGACGCGCGGGACGTCCGACTTCACCGAGCAAATCCACGGCACCAGACCCCCAGCGGTCAGCTCAAAGACGTCGGCACCGAGCTTCTCGAAGTCAACCTCTGCGACGTTGGACGCCATGCGCCCGCAGCAACCGACCCGCTTCAAGTTCCCCGCGAACTGCTCCAGATGGGCCCTGATCTTGCTCTCGGTGGCCGCGCTGTTCTTCTCCAGGAAGTTCTTGATCACCGACCTTGTCGCCGTCGGAGTCCGCGCCCACCTCGACGACGCCTTGAAAAGGAAGTTCCTTCAGCGCCCTGCCCTTGGGAAATCCCTTTCCCGCCTGCGTCAGAGACAACCGCTGATCTTCAGCAAGACTGGCGTAAATAGTTCGACTCATGGAGTCGGCGCACTCCTTTCCGAAACCTCCTTTCCAATCGCTTGCCGATATTAGTCCGCCCGTTGTAGTGGCCCATGTGCGCGATCGACTTGTTGTGGCCAGACTTCTCCTGCAGGTACTTGAGGGTGCCTCTCTCCTTCCGAAGCCTGCTTATGTCCTTGCACGCGATCTTTTGCTCGACGACGACGCCCTTGGGGTCCTACAAGTCGTGCTTTCCCTGCTGAAGCTTGTGCAACTGGTTGAACTCGACCTCCGCCTCCA